GCTGCACCGAACAGACAACCTGAGAATCATGCAGGTGCGGGTTGGCGGGGGGTGGGGGAGGGAGTGGAGGGGGAGGGAAAGGGGGGCCGGGCCATGGGTGGGATGATGGGCGAAAGGGGGAAATAGCTGATCTTCCTGAACACCTGGAGCTCTCGATCCCCTCACACCCTTCATCCTTCATCACCTCACTGGCCGAGAAACCCTAAAACCCAACTCTCCGTAACCCCCCCCCCCGCAAATCCCGACAGGAAAATACGGCACTCATCAAGGAGATCAATGAGCTCCGTCGCGAGATTAAGACGCTCAAGGGCGGGCTGGCCAGCGCGGGCGGCGGCCTGGGTACGGCAGGTGGCAAGGGCGGCGGCGGCCGTGGCGGCGGTACTGCTGGCGGCGGTCGCACCAGTCCCGACGGCGGTTCCCTGAGCCAGGCTGAGAGCCTCCGTCGGGAGCTGGAGATGCAGCGGGAGCTCATTGCGCGGCTGAGAGAGGAGGTGAGGTGCCAGAAGTGGTAGTGGCGGGGGAATACACCTGGTCGCGATTCAAAAAAGAGATATTTCTTTTCTTTGCTGTCGGGTCATATGTCGCTGGATTGTCCACGGTCAGGTGGTTTACGGCTGAGAGGAAGGCACGTGTACGTTTAGAAGTACCCGGGAGGGGGAGGGGGAGGGGGAGGGGGAGGGGGAGGCGGGGAGGGGGGCCCGGGGACGGGGAGGGGGAGGGGGAGGGGATCTCCAAGTTCTGTTCGGCACGCGCTTTCTTCCTTCTACCCCTCATCATCATCATCATCATCATCCTTCCCGTACCCTCCTCAAGCTTTCCCCGGCCTTCCCCAGTCCCCCAAAACACACACACACACACACCTCCCTTACCCGCGACCCCCCCTCCGCCAACCCGCGGCCACTCCTCCCTCGTCATCCCCGGCCCAACCAAACCCGACAACACCCGAACCCCCTTACCCCGCTTGGTAGATGATGGTCAAGGAGGCTCGCATTAAGCAGCTGGAGGCCATGGTGGTGCCGCGACCCATCAGCCGGGAGAGGCTGCCGCCCATGGACGGATTCCCGGCACCCCCACCTGCACAACCACCTCCACAACTACAACCACCGTCACAACCGCCAGGCAACGGTGCCGGCTTGGGTAACGGGTATTCCGGGTCAGGCGCCGGCGGCGGCATGCGGGAGAGCGGCAGTGGTAACGGCGGCGGGCCCGGACTAGGTGGTGGCGGTGGTTCGAGTGCATCAATTTTGACTGCGGCGGCGATTGCGGCGTCTATGGGGCCGGCCCCCCCTGGAGAAGGGGAGGCGTGAGGGGGATGGGGGGAGAGGGTGTTGAGGGCTGCGGCGGCAGAAGGGCGGTGGAGAGGAAAAGGAGGGGGGGATACGTCCAAGCCCAGGATGCAGGGCTTTTGTGATGAGGAGGATGGGGAGGAAGGGGCGTGTGTGTGTGTGTGCGTGTGTTTGACGGGGGATTCACTGGCCGGGTGGGGGCTTGCAGGGCGGACAGATGAAGCCCGGCGGAGTGAGAAGGGCAGGGCATGAGCTGGACAAGTCCAGCCCTGCCCCTCTATAGCTGTTTATCTGGGACTGTGACTCAGCTTGGAAAGAGAGGACGTTGGGGGTTGGACATGGGGGAAGAGGAGGGAGTCTTTTTTGCGAGGCGCGAGGGAGGGGGTGAGGGAGCGCGAGGGAGGGAGGGGGCGAGAGGAAGGGAGAGGGGAAGGGAGAGGGAGATATAGAGAGAGCGGGACGGGGTGGTGGAAAGTCCTCTCGGGAAGGGGGAGAGCTGTTCGGAGGGTGTCCGCACCCCCGGGACCGCCCTCCGGGGCGCCCCACTGCCACGTCCTCCTTGCCTCCTTGGCGCGAGAGGCCCCGGGCCCGGGCCCCGGCCCCGGCTAGGCTTTATCCGCGTCTCTGCGTACGTATGTCTGTATGTACAGGTGCGGTGGGGTGGGGGGGGAGGAGGAGACTGGCACCCCATGTCGGCGCTTGAAGGCACCGTTCGTCAGGTTCGACCGCCCTGAGATGGGTATCGCCTCACACAGCTGAGGTGAGGTGAGGTGAGGTGCGGTGAGGTGGTGAACTGGGCTGGGTAAGTGCGCCGAAGGTCCCTCTCACCTCCGGGGCCCGTGAACACGGGCCCTATGTGTTGGAGGTGAGGCGCTTGGGGGTTGGGGGAGAGGAGGACGGGCAATGGAGGTGGCAATGGTGGGTGGTTGGAACGGTGGTGGTGGAAGTGGCGGTGACTGACTGTGTACGGCAACAGTTGTGTAAAGCAGCTGGCGTTGGTTTCTGGAAAAGGAGGGGGTTTTCTACAGGGCCCAACCCAACCCAGTGGTGGATGGGGATATGAGAGGGGCTGCGGGCAGGATGAGCCTCTCCGAGTTGAACTGGTTGACCTGCTCGAGAAAGGACTGACGTACGTGCAGACATACATACAGAATTAGGTAGACATGCAGAAGAAAGCAAAACTGAACGATTGGCCGACTGATTGACAGAGAAACCGACAGGAAGTGGTGAGGTGGGGGAAGGGAAGGACGAACGGGACGAAGGGAAGGAGCTTGACCTGCGCGTGCGTGCGCTTGCATGTGTGTGTATGTATGTATTTATGTGTGTGTATGTGCGGTTGTGAACGCGTGCGTGTATATATGTCCGTTATGAAACAATCCACGTGTGTATGTATGTGTGTGATACGTCAGCATATGCGGTTTGTGATTACGTCATCTCCTCGAGGTCCATTCTCGTTTCCGTCGTCCCTGACTGCCACTGCCTCTGCTACTGCTGCCACTGCCACCGCTGGGCGATTGTTGCTGGTTGGAACGCTAAGGCAAACTTCCTCTAGTGACCCTTCCGGCGCATGTGTTGCTTGTGCCCGCGTCCTTGCACACATGTGCTCGTTGGTATTGTGCCTTCACTAGGCCAAGGCAAAGGCCACACGTCCTTGATGATCGTAGTGTCCAAGACTGGCAAGACGCCTACTAAACGTATTTTGGGGCCTTTCGGCCCCGGCCGGGCTCACTGCTTTCAGTCAGTCAGTCAGTCAGTCAGTCAGTCAGTCAGTCAGTCAGTCAGCGTCGTGTCTCGTGCCACGCTGAACTGAGAATTGCATCCAAAAGCTAATATTAGGACGTGTTCACATGTGGGCGAATCAGGGTTGATTCATGCGAATTGGACTCTGAATTGGACCTGATTGGACCCGAATCGGAATTGGGGTCCGGGGGGGCCTCTTCGGGTATGATTCGACGTGATTCACAGTTTTCTTTCTCAAAACAAAGTTGTTTAACAAACCGTTTCTCATAATTACCATTACAATACTATAGGAACATTTTCCAATTGTTAATTCACGCAAAGCGCACCGAGCATTTTTCACGAACTCCTGCAGCTATGTATGTACAAGCCTGGTGATAATTTTCGCCATAGAAACGATACTTATACTGTTCTGTTCCTAGATAATGCTGGCTTGCCTTGGGTGATGGGGCGTAGCCGCGGAGCTTCAGCTGCCGTGCAGCGAATCGTATGTGAACACAATTCCGAAAGCCGCCCCGAATCGGACTCCCAATCAGACTCTCAATTGGACAACATGTGAACACACCCTTACGATTCTCCACCGATCACCGAAGAATGAATCCACGTACATCATCGGTGCGGAAGAATAGCTTTCTGCTCACCATTGCGTTTTACACACCAACCAACCAACCACGACCATCAGCAATAATGATAAAAAACATACGCCGCTCAGCTCCGCCCTTTTCGGCTTCAAAGATGCTGACTACCCTAGTCGAAACCTGTTTCACATTCGCATTATTTTATTATAATTAATATTGGCATTATAGCTCCCTTGCCTCCAGGCTTGATAGCAAATGCCTGGAGAGACCAGCGCTGCATTTCCCCCCTCCTTACTGGCGTTACACTGCTGATGGCTCGTACATCCATAGTTACACCTGGTACGCATGCCAGCAGCCAGTGTACATGAAGCATTTCGCAATAGAGCTGGGAGGATAATTCGACGGAAAGCCAGAGCGCGAATATTAAGAAGGTGAGATTTGAACTGTTTGAGTGGGTGGGGTGGTAGCGGGTATGCTACGGCACGGCCAAGGCATGAGCAACCTACCAAGACAACCAACCACGCAACTTGAACCTTCAACTAAAAACTGAAACGACCAACTACCTAAAACCCTGAGCTGCAGCCAAAGGAAGAAGTGGCGCTTTGCATTTCCCGATAGCGCCATCATCACCCAGATGTCACCCACCATCATCACCCCGCTCGCTGACCCCCAGAGGGGCCCACTGCACAGCCCGATTCCCCGCAGACCGCAATGACATATTCACGATATTCACCACGCCATCCGTACACAGCCGCATCACCACCGTCGCTACACCAACACAGCCACCATTGCGGCCATCCGGCAAGCCCCTTACCAGCTCCACTACACATACCGCCAGCCCCTGCACGGCCCCTGACCGTATCCGATCCGATTTTATCCGGATATATCCGTCCTCCACAACACCACCTCCGACGCTGCGAGGTCGACCACCAGCAGCAGCGGTAGCAGCAGCGGCAATAGCAATAACAACAACAATAATAATAGCATCAACAGTACGAAACACCCAACCTCTATGAGCCACCGCCGCAGTAGCAGGAGCAGCCCGCACCCCTGTTCAGGATACAAACAAGTACCACTCGTCAGGCCAGTACACGCCACCCCAAACCCCCAAGACACTCCCACCTCCACCGAAAACATGATTGCGCCGTGCACACGGGATGGGATATTTGTTTGGATTCAGTGTATGCATGTATGTATGTGTGTGTGAAACACGGGGATATATCTTCACCCGTGGCAGCTACCCTGCGAAACTCTGCCTTCCCGATGAGCGCGGGAAGGAATGGCGATACCCCGCTGTTACACCGAAGAAGACCCCCTAAACATCTCTGCACAACAATACATACGCACATACATACGCACATACATCAAACTGCACATGGGACATACATCGCTCCCTCCATCACGCCTTGGTCCCCTCTGTGGGTAGTCCTCGGAACCGCCACTGCTGGAGGCCCCCCTCCAGCCAAAACATGTTGTTGGCGCTCCAACCCGCCTGCGCGCGCCGAGAGGGAATGAAGGTTACAAGTTACAAGTCCCGCACAAGTGCGGGGATGTCCGTAAAAGCCGGGGGAGGGGCCCATGGACGGTAAATCGTTTTTTAGTGCGGTTACGTGGTGGACCATCAAATGGAGAGGGAATGAAGGAGTGAGTGTGGAGTGAGTGTGTGTGGAAAGAAAGGAGGACCGTATAGGGTTTTGTCCTCAGTCAGCGTGAACACAGGTCGGGTCAACGATGATGTACATGGCACGATTTTCCGTACATGGTACGGCACCGCTGCTGAAGTCGCCGCTGTTGCTGTTGCTACCGGCTTACGTTAATTAGTTCGTACGCGGCCTTCAGAGACCGAGATTCCCGACCGAAGGCGCGCTCCGGGTCGCGAATGGCGGGCTTGACGCCCTTCCGGAGGTCGACCTGTCGAAAGTATAATTACCGTTGGTTGAATGACGGTTGGTGCTTAATTAACAAGAAGTCCATTAATAGGACTATTATGGCCTCAGCGACAGTTAATGTAGTGCTGTGTTTTATGAGCACATATGAAAATAATTCGGTCAAATGTCTCGCACAAAGAATTTCCTCCATACAATCGTAAAAAGAGAAGATACATACACGTACATACATACACACACATATATACACACGCGTTGCTCCGAAGGGTTTCTTCGACAAATTCCATTTGAGCCGGGGCGCGCGGCCGGTCACTCGCACACGGTAAAGGTAGAAAAAGTACCAAGTCGTACACGTCGTGCCGTACAATCTGAAGTACATGCCGTGCAATACACACCGTACTCACCAGCGTATCCAACGTTCCCCCAATAGCGCACATGAGGACGACCTTTTGGTTCTTCTTCAGCACTGACAGCGCCTTCGTCTGGTAGTCGGGGTCGCGCTCTGGAAACACATCATGGAAAGTGTGTATGAGGACATGGGGCGGGGGCGGGGGCGATGGCGGGGGCGGGGGCGGGGGGTTTTCGGGTTTAGGAAGGGAAACGTGTAAACCGCCTTACTGATGGTTGCAGCGAGTGCGGTCGTGGCGGAAGAAAGGGAACCCAACAAAACAGAAGAAAACAAAACAGAAGACAGCGGAACAATGCAGCTACTTGGGTCTTAAAGGACATATAGTGCCTTGCACTCTCTGCTCTTCATCTCCAAAACCTCGAACTGACAGACTGACAGACTGACAGGCTTTCCTTAGGTATACACCCTCCGTCCCTTCCACAACCGCCCTAACACCATTACCGCCACCATCATCACCGCCCCGCTGGTGCTGCTCTGCACTGTGTTTTCCCCCCTCCCCCTCCCCCTCCCCCAGACCCGGCGGCCCCACCCACCGGTAGCCCGCATGGCGAACCCAACGGCCATGGCCGCCTTCTTGACGGTGTCCCAGAAGCTGGTGCCCTCCACGTAGCGGTACAGAGGGAGACTCACCGCGCCCGCGGCGTGAACCTGGATAGAGGGTGTGGATGTATGTATGTACGTGTGCATGTACGTGCGTATGTATGTGCGTATGTATATGTGTACGAAGGAAAACGTCGATGTGAATGCAATAATAACGGACGGGGCTTCGTTATTAAAGTTAAAAACACACGCAAATCACACATCGTTGATGTTCGCTGGTCTGGGGCGGGATGGAAAGCGGAGTGGTGGACGGGATAAGATGTACGTGCGTGTACGAATGTACGTGAGTGTGTAAAATGACGGAGTGGTGGTTTGCCCAGTTTGGTCAGTTCGCGGCTGTACGGCAGGTGTACGGCTGATCAGGGAACGGTGATGTCACTACTGAACGCAGTCGCTGGCACCCGAACATTAGTTGGATTATTACGACAACTTCTTTATCCCCAGGCTGGCAACCGCTACCAACGGCCCAACCGTAAAAATCAATTGTTTCCTCGCCTGCTCAAAGTCGTTGGCCAGCCGTACGTCAACAATGGTCCAGCCCTGCTCTTGAAGCGCCAGTGCCTGACAGGGCGAACGACAGCCCAACCGTCAAAACGGTTTATTTATTCAGGGCGACAGCAGCCACAGGTCCCGACAAAAAATGCGAAATACCAGGGGCCGGCCAGGTGCTTTGAATCGAACATAATCAATATGAATTAAAGTTATAATTTTACCAGGAGCCTGCGGCAGGACCGAGGAAACAGGACAATTAACCAAACTTGCTCACGGGGCCGGGTGGGGGCCGTTTCCCCTTCCTCTTAACAACGCATCCAAACACGAGAGGAAAACAGTTCTAATTTTCTCGCTCCCTCTCCCTCTTCCTCCTCCTCAACGCGCCCTCCAACCTTGCAAAAGGAAAAGGAATTTAGAAGCCTAACCGCCAACCGTTAACCGCTAAAACATTCAACGCACACGCACCTCTTCCGGAGTGACGCTGCGAAGGCCCTTGCTGACCAGCAGCGTGTGAATGGCGGGCCACACCTGTACGGCAGTGCAGCGGTACGGCGATACAAGAGGCGGAGTGTTGCAATCTATGCTTACGTCAGGAGGGGAATTTTAATTTATTATATTATAGCCTGGTGGCCATCAAAAATGTTAAGTAAACATAATCTACATTACTTAATATCTTAAGATCAAATTAAATCAATATATATTGGGTAATATAATATTGATACAACACCCTAGGTACGGTAAAATACCCACCACGTACGGTGTGCCGCTTTTGGGCGTGGCCAATGTTTGGTCAAACTTGCCCGCGAACCGATCATCGCGAAGCCACCTGCGGGAGGTGAGGTGGGAGGTGAGGTGGGAGGTGAGGTGGGAGGTAAGGGCAAAAGAAGGGGAACGTGGCAAAAGGGGGGGGGAGGAAATGACACCCAGGGGTCGCAGCTAGCTGGGTTATGGGCTGGGTTAACTGATGCAGGCGAACGGCTGCCGTACTCCTTCATGAAGAGTTTAATCTTAATAAATCTGGTTGTTACTTATGTATGTTAACATACACATGCCCCTGGAATGTGGGGCAATGAAAAGCAGCGAAACAGCCCCAGGCGTTCTCGAGCATATACCGACTCACTCCCTTGACCCTGCGCTGTGCTGTGCTGCGCTACACAGCGATATTCACCAATGACATATTCATCGATATATTAAGCTGCCCCGACCTTCTACATTAGCATGTGACCAGTTCCGCCCCAACATAAACCCCAAGTCATAATCCCGGCGGGGCGCCTTTCTGCCGTGCGTCGCTCGGTCTACTTGGTTAACCATCGCTCCCCACGTTTTTCCCCTATGATGGCCTGGACCGCTTTCCGCAGGGCCATCTTCCCCTCCCAAGTTTCGTAGGCCAGTATGATCCTCTAGCATAGTTTGCACCGACCTGTTGTTCGCTGGGTCAAAGCGGAAACCCACGGATTCAAAGTCCACAGGGTCCGCTAGCTTTGGTGCACGACCGGTGATGCGTCCTCCTTTAGCTGTCGTTGCAGCGTTCGAGGACGTTGACTTTGCGCTCACGAGGACAGCGGAGTTTCGGGATGGCTTGCAGGCACGGCATGGCGCGGCCGCACGGCCACCACACCGCATCGCCATCAAGACAAGGCGTTGTAGAAATGTGAGGGTATGGTACTGGTTGTGCGCGCTGGTGTCGGAGATTAGGGCACGTAGGGTGGTCGTGTGGTGTTGCGCGTAGTGATGCAAGCGCAGTGCGGAGCCTGCGTGATAACTTGGTAACCCTGAGCTTCCCAGCTACAGCAATGGCACATAAACACAGCGATGTACACTGTTGCAATGCGCGAGGCATTTCGTGGTTGATGGACTTTGCATAAGCCCCTCGCTGGTCGACCCTATCCGTCTCCTATGGTCGGCAGGCTGCAAACAGACTGGATCTGCGGTCCAAAGGTTCTGCTTGTGAATACTATCTCATCGTGTTATGAAGGGCTGAGGCTTGACGACTTCAACTGTATAGTATGCAATTCACTTGACCTTTCATTTCATGATGCAAAACACGTAAATGGTGAACCATGTAAGAAACCTTGTGTAATATGCATAGCTGCCAAAGGCCGGCTACATGTTTTGACGTGGCTTGGCCGATTGACGACGGACGATTTCCGTTGCCACGAACGGGATCAAGCCATCGGCTGCAATCACGGAGCTCAACACGCATAATCCAACTCCCTTCTACCCACGAACATGAGAGGTGGCGACGCTGCAGGGCTCTCATTCTCCATGCGCAGCAGCCGCCGCGGACTGCACGCTGGGGCCTCCATGCCGCGCAAACGCATGTCCTGGGCAGTCCCAACTTGCCTTTCCTCAGCGCTGAGGCAGCCACATCACCGGATGTCTCGATACCACATCCCGATAGTGCTGCTGCCCCACGACCCTTCATCAGCAGCGCGGCGAGCGCGCTTGCCGGCGCGGACTCTCACGCTGTCACGCTGGATGGCAGACCCCTGATCTATCAGGTACATACATACATACATACATGCGCGGAGCCAGAGCCCATCCGGATGGACCAAAGCAGCCCGTAGAACCACCAGGGCCTGGGGGGCGGTTCGTGCCTCCCTTGCATGTATGTGTATGCGTGTATGCACGTGTGTGCCCGCACATTGGGTGCGTAAGCCGGAAGAAAGATTCGCAAGCATCGCATACCCGCATGTGCACGCTTGTCGCATCGTCGCGTATAATATGACAACACCCCCTAGGATTGGGCTCGCCAGGGCAGAGAGAGGAGAAAAGAGAGGGGAAGGTAAAAAGAGAGAAAGAGAGAATTCAGGGAGTGGAGAGAGCAGAGGACAGAGAGAAGAGGGCAGCTGGTGTTAACCCGAATCAGCCGAGAGGTTTCCGAGACACCCTTCACTGACAAACACAAACACACACACAAACACACACACAAACACACACACAGACACGCACATATTTCAAAACGAAAATCAACGAGAAATTACGGAGTATAATTCCAGTATACTTCATTTACAACTTCTTGTATCTACATGTCCACTCTTCCACTTGACTTCATTGTTCGCAATAGCTCATAATAGTTCTTCATTTGTCCCTCATAGCCATACCCTCAGGACGGCGACTCCGGAGGGCGGTCCCTGCGGCGGAACGGAGACGACTGCCCGGAGCCTGCAGGGGAGGAGGAGGCGGAGGAGCCTGCAGGGGAGGAGGAGGCCGTGGAGGGGTATGGAGAGCAGGACGAGGAGGACGAGGATGGGCCGTACGGTGGACAACATTCCATGCAGCGGCGGCTAGGCCGGGGCCAGTGTCGGGGAAGTCAGATCAGCAGAGGCGACGGCGGCGGCGGCGGAGGTGCGGCCGGGCAGCGGCGGCCACGCCAACAGCCGCAGCCACCGCCACAGCCGCAGCCACCGCCACAGCAGCAGCTACTGCAGGAGGTGCGGCACCAGGCGCAGACACCCCGACATCGGTTATGCGCTGGGGTTTCGGAGCCACCCTTCCCGGACCAGCAGCAGCAAGACCAGGAACAGCAACAACAGGATCAGGATCATCATCATCATCATCGCCGTCAAGGGGGTCATCGTCTCTTTCATGGACGACAGCAGCAGCAGGACCAACAGGACCATCAGCAGCAGCAGTTCCAGCAGCAACAAGGACGGCAGAGGCGACGGTGGCATTACCCGCAGCAGCAACAGCAGCGGCTACATGCCACCCTAGTGCATGCGCGGCACTGCCTGTCACGGGCGCTGGCCTCCTCCACCTCCCCACTTGAGCTGGAGCAGCTGCTGGCCTGGTGCCTACCTTCCGCCGCCTCCTCCTCCTCCTTCCCCTCCTCCTCAGCTGCCACCACCGCCGGCACCGCCGCCGAGGAGCCTCTGCCGCTCTTAGACCCGGTTTGTGTGTCAGCGGCAGTCTGCCGTATGGTACGACTGCACAGGGCGTCGCCGCCGTCGTCCGCCGCCGCCGTGGGTGCAAGCGATAGGGCTGCGGCGGGCGCTGCTGGCCGCGACAGCAGTCGCAGTAGCGGTGGCGGCAGTAGCAGCAGCAGCCATTTCAGCAGCAGCCACAGGAGTCATGAGTGGGGTTCTGACTCGACACCGTGGTCAGGCGGCAGAGCGGCAACGGTGGAGGGTGGCGGATCTGTGGATGTCGCGTGGGGAGCCGCGGCGCCGCTGGAGACGTACGGGCGTGGGGCGGAGGGGCTATGGACTAGAAATGGCGGCGGCGGTGGGGCCACGGCGGTGCCGCCGCATGCGCCGCCTGCAAACTTGCAGGTGGCGGGATCGACGGAGTGGCAGGTGGACACCGGAGGGGCTGTAGCGGCGGGAAGCGGCGGTGGCGCCGTGACGCTCGTCGCGCCGCCTGCTACTGCTGCTACAGCACCTATTGCTGTTACTACAGCTTCGTCTCGTGGCTGCACGGGCGGTATCACTTTATGCGGCAGTAGCTCTGAGGGCAGCGGCTTAACGATATCAGTTGCGCCGGCGGCAACTCCATTGACAGCCGTAACGGCGGCAGTAGCTGCAGTAGCAGGGCCCAGCGGCGGCGGCGGCGACTTGCGGCCATATACAGCTGTAGCTGCTACCGCAGCCGGCACGGCACACAGCCTCATGTTACGTGATGTGGCCCTGGTACGCTACAGCGCCGGCGGTGCAGCAGCTGCCGGCGCCCGCCCTGTAGCGCCGTCATTGCCAAACAGCTCCCGGGAGGGATCCGCCGAAGCCACCGTTGCCGTACTGTTGCCACAAGCAGATTTGACCATGGGAACACGTAGCAACACGCCAGCGGGAAAGGGGCGGCGGCCGGTCTGTACGACGGCAGTGGCGGCGGCGCCGACGGAGCCCTCTTTCTGCCGCGACGGAAGCGGTCCGCTTCCATTTGCGGCCCTTGCAGGTCCGTCACGTCGCTCGACGCAGCCCTTCCTGCGCCTCGCTGCGGCAGCTGTACGGCATTGCCTTGCGAACGCCGCCACCTCCGCAACCGCGGGCGAGCTTCCTTCCGCCGCTTTCACCTTGGGTGCGGGGCGCGAAGCGGTAGTACCGGCGACAGCGGCTGTGTCCTCCTGGGTAGTCAGGGCAACACAGCTCAAGGCAGTTGCCGCCGCCGACAGCGGCGGCGGCGGCGGCAATGGCCACCTGCATGCGGTCAGCCCCGCGACGCTGGCCTTCGTAGAGGCGGCGGCGGCGGCGGAGCTCGCCGCTGTCGACGCTGTTGCCGCTACCGCTGGCAGCGGCGGTGGGCTTTCTTCGACGGCAGTGGCAGCGGCAGCGGCCCCAGTGGGTCGATTCAGGCCTCGAGAGCTGGCAAATGTGGTGTGGGGCCTGGCCTGTCTTCGGAGCCAGGATGCACAGCTTTGCGGCAGACGAGAGGACCAGGTGCTACTGCTGCGGCTGGCGGAGGAGCTACTGCCGCGGCCGCCGCTGGACGAACAGGCGTCAGGCTTGGCGGCCATGGAATCGGCAGCCGGCAGCAGTGCTACTGCCCATTCCGGCGGTAGCGTCAGCAGCAGTAGTTGTAGTTGGTTTCGGAGCCGCTGGCAGCCCGGGGAGCTCGCGATGATGGCATGGGGTATGGCGCGCGCCGGCGTGGCGCCGCCGAGCCGCCGCTGGCTGTTGTCGTTCATTGCGGCGTGGGACGAGCGCACGTTGATGTCGGCGGCCCCATCCGACCTGGCCTGTCTGGCCTGGTCACTGGCGCGCTGGCAGCGAATGGCCGAACGGACGACGGCGTGGCGGCGCGCTGTCCTTGCCGGTTCTAGCTGGGCCGACAGCCGCCGTCACCGCCGGCAGCAGCAGCAGCAGCGGAAGAGGCCGGCACGGGGTCGGCGGCTGAGGTTCTCCGCCTCTCCGGGGGCTTCTGCCGCGGGTAGGACCCTGGCGGCGCCGCCGCCGCCGCGGCTGCTGCTTCCGTCGGCCTGGTTGGAGTCCTTCTGGGTGGCCAGCACAGAGCACATACGGTGCCGTACCGCTCCGCGAGCAGCCGCCGCCGCCGGGACGTCGCAACGCTGGTCACCGACGGATCACCAAGGACGCAGTGCGTGGGTGCACCTTCCCCCTCCCCCTCCCCTTCATCGTCCACAGCTTAACTCGGAACAGAACCTGAGCAGACCGCCTGGCGGGGCTGGCGCTTGTCGTACTGCCGCTGGCTCGGATGTACGACATGTGGATGGCAGCGGGCAGCGGGCCGCGGGGAGCTGGGGTGTCTCCGAGCTGGCGATGCTAATTTGGTCGGTGGGGGAGCTACAGCTTGCGCCGCCGGCGGACTGGATGGAAGCGGCATTGCGCGCCGCTGCGGCGGCGGCGCCAGCGGCGCCGCCGCTGGCGCTGGCAACGACGCTCCGCGGTGCGGCGCTCATAGGCGCGTGCACGCCGGTGCAACAGCCCGCTGCTGCTGCCGCCGCAGCTGCTGCCGCCTCATCGTCGTCGTCGCCCTCCGCGCTGCCGCCAAAGGCGGCAGCGCCAGCTGCTCCAGCAGTACACTCGCCGTACAGCAGCTTCACGGCTCGACGGTCAGCGCTAAATGCCACTGCTGCAGGCCCCCACACGTCCCTCCCCCGTCTCCATTCCCAGGATGCTATAACGTCGGGGGACACCGTGGGGACCGGTAGTGGTCGTACATGCCCGGCGGCCGATCAGCTGCGTGTTAGCAGACCCATGGGTCACTCCTTTCCTTTCCATGTCGCAGCAGACGGCGCCGCCGTCGCTACGGCGGCGCCGTTGCCGTCGCCGGGCGCAGCGCAGCAGCAGCAGCAGCAGCTGCTGCACCAGCGGCCGCCTCGGCGGCCGCCGCAGTCACCGCCGCCGTGTCAGTCGCTCGTGGCGGCATTCGTACGGTCGTACCTGGGCCGCTGCGCGGCGGCGATTGGAGGCTTTGGTCCGAGCCAGGTTGTCGATTTGCTGGCGGCAGTAGAGGTGCGCGAATTTTGCGTGTTTCATTTTTTATTTACGTATAATTTGCAAACTGGTATTGGATTTGTGGAATACTATGGTTTCAGATGCTACTTTCCTCGGTCCTTACCTTCATGAGACATGGGTGGATTGGATCGGTTTGATTCGTTTAAGAAAAAACACAACTGTTGGCAATTTTTTGACAAAAAACTGAACTGTTTTTGCAACCTCAACTGACTAACCAACCAATCTGGCGAACCCCCTTAACCTCACTAAGCTTTCCTAACAGACACCCGCGGGCCTTTCCACACAGGGTGTGCACGCTCCCCCCAAAACCCCCTTCGTGCGTGGTTCGTCTGCCCCCCGACACACACACCCTCCACCACAGGCCCTCGCCGCCTCCGGCCACCTGCCCCCACCCGAAGCCCTTCCGGTGCCGGTTGAGAAGCTTCTGGACGCAGCTGTAGCTCGCTTACAGCGCTGCTATAGCCTGGGCCTTGGCGCGCGGCATTTGCTGGCGGCGACCGGCAGCTTGGCGGCAATGGGCCATACGCCGCCGGGGGAGTGGTTGGACTGGTGGTTGGACGAGATGTACGGCAGCTTCGTGGCCGGCCGCTTGCGGTGCCATGAGCTGGCGGCTGTGTTGCGGGTGCGCGTGTGGTGGTGGGGTTTGGTGGAGGGGGGGGGAGGGGGGGAGGGAAGGGAGAAGGGGAGGGAAGGGAGAAGGGGAGGGAAGGGAGAAGGGGAGGGAAGGGAGAAGGGGAGGGAAGGGAGAAGGGGAGGGAGAAGGGGAGGGAGGGAGAAGGGGAGGGAGAAGGGGAGGGAGAAGGGGAGGAAAGGGAGAAGGGGAGGGAGAAGGGGAGGGAGAAGGGGAGGGGAGGGAAGGGAGAAGGGGAGGGAGGTTCTTCTTTCCGAGATTGACTTTGCGATGCCCTCTTCCCCTCAGTGAGTGGTTTCTTCCTTTTACCTTGTTCTTCTTCTTCTCTTCTTGAACCCACACTACCCACCCAGTGCAGTCGTCATATTCGCAATTCGCTTTTTGTTCGTGAAACGATTTTTTACTTTATGCCCCCCCCACACACAATTCAACCATTAATCCGTTCAGCTCGAAACGAAAAAACGAAAATGAGTAAAGTATTCATAATCCATAGACAAAATCACATGCTCTTTAAAATCTTACCATTTGCGCACGCTTTCGCCATGCAGGCTCTGGCCGCCTTCCGTGTCGTACCCGGCACCGCCTGGCGTGCCGCCCTGCTGACCGCCGCCGCCGGCCAGCTCCGACATACCGACAGACCAGGACTGACGAACCTGGCGGCCTCCATGGCGGCGGCAGGACTACGCTTAGGTAGCGGCGGCGGCGGCGGCGGTGGCGGCGGCCAGGTCGTCGGCGCCACGTTAGCGGCGCCGGCGGAGGCGGCGGCGACCGCGTCTTGGTTCTGGCTGACGCGGTTTTTGCGCGTGTGGTCGGGTCTTCGTGGGTCCCAGCGGGTCCACTACTACGGCGGCACGTCGCCGCTGTTGCGGCCGCCGACGGCGCACCAAGCGGACAGGTGAGCGGGGGCTCAGCGGAATGTACGACCCTCACTTGGGTGCGTGCGTACAACGGTGCATATGTATGTATGTATGTATGTATGTATGTATGTATGTATGTATGTATGTATGTATGTATGTATGTATGTATGTATGTATGTATGTATGTATGTATGTATGTATGTATGCATGTATGTAATGCTAAAATAGTGAGAGCCGCGAGTAGGGGAGGTGTGGCGAGGTGGCACAGACTGGCTGCCCGTGTGTGTCGACGTGGCGTTCCCGACCACCCGGGCCCCATATCGCCATGTGTGGGTTACACCACCACCCTAGCTGAAGTGTGTTACCCTCCACAGGTGCAGCGGTCCCATACCAGTGTTAGCAGCCCCTACAGGATCTCAACGAATGTGCAGGATCTCCCCCGGCCCCCCGCCCCGCACACACCAAACCATCCACTCCCCTTGTGTGTTCCCTCCGGGCCCCCCCCCCTGTTCCACTTTCCCCTCCCCAACCTCTGTACATTCTTTCATGCACTGACCTCACCTCCTGACCCTCCCC